CGACTACAACTTCACGTGATCGAGTGATAGCGTTGCTTGTTTACCCATCGTCATAGAATTTTTATTAAACATACTTTTCACAAACTTTTTTTAATTATTGTCAAAATAAGTAAAATTATTATATTTAGCTTTTTAATAATTTATGGTTGCGAAATTCAGAACCATACACGGGTGTTTTCTTCTGCGTTAAAGGCAAAATCTGCTAAACACGGCTCACTTTTAAGCAATAATTTTTCAAATTATTGTTGCGAAGTGAGCTTGTTATTTAGATCTAAAAAGAACAGATATTCATGATTGAAATTTCCTTAATTTACAAAATCAATTATTGTTAAATTTTTGAATGGAGAAAAAAAATTCATGCTACTTTTTTTGGATTTCATATTTTAGTACAAATTTAATTCCGATTATCTAACATATTTTCTTATTAACAATTAGACTGTTTTTTATAATTACAAAATACAAAATTGTAATATTTGTTTGTAATAAGAGTGCTTGTAATAAGCATAAATTGAAATCATATCTACCCTTTTCTTATCGCGTAGTTTGCATGAAAATCAATCCTTCTCAGAGTTTGGAAAATTCAGTTGTAGTTTTGTTTCATATAGAGGGGAGGAGGCACCTACGAACGTTATAAATTTTATCTTTATAATAATTAATATTAATTGGATATGAACATGTAGTTCATTTAAAACAGTAAGCTCCAACTTCTGAGCTCTGGACTAGTCCCTGTTTTAAAATTAAATGTTTCCAGATCACCATAAGATCATAAAAATATTTCAATTTTATTTTCTGCGGTTTAATTCTCTCGGGTTTGTGCGACTTTCTATAGACAAGGGGTTAACAGTGAGTCAAGTGACATCACCTAAAGTCACACCAATACAGCGAATGTAACTGTATTTTGTTTTGAGAGAATCTTTAAATACAATTACTTTAAAATTATTAAATCAAAACTATCTAAAATATAAACAATCAACATCCGCCCCTCCCTCAGAGGGATACTATTAAGTGTTGACCTGTCAGCGGCGATAAAAACGGTTGGAATGCATTGATTTAAAGCAATAAGCCGCCATTTTATTGAATGTTGCAGTCTAAGCAATGTAAGCTCACTGTCTTTATGATCTGAATCTAAAAGTTTTTAAATGTTTTTAAATGTGTTTTAAAGCTGTTATTTAGAAAATATTTAATAATTTGTTCAAGAGATGGAGCACTTTGTAGTCGAATTCAAATCATAAGGTATCACTAATCAGATTTTTTTTAAAAGAAATATTATCCTTATTTCTGCAGAAAATGTTGAATTTAGTTTGATGAGTCATAGAAATGTATGGATATTTTTAAGACACTGTACAAATTAGGCAACATGAATTTTAAAAATAAAATATATGGATTTTTCAAAATTTTTTTCCAAAGGAAATTTTTTAAAGCTTTCTATATTTCTCCTATTAATGCAGAAAATTTTTAGGTGTTGAAAAATGTATAGATATTCTTAATACACTGCTTAATTTACAATACATTCATTTTAAGTTCGAAGAAAAATTCTAAAAATCATTCAAAATGGCATTTTTTTTTATTCAAAACAATTTGGAAAACTTTTAATAAAAAAAAATAAAAATTAATAAAATCGATAAATATGAAATAAAAATATTAAGTTTAAAATAAAATAAAAAATTAAAAACTATTCATGATTTTTGTAAGATTATGTGTTTATTTTTAATTTAGTCATTTCTGTTTTAATAAATTATATAAAGTAAAAAATTATGATGCATTTATATAATGCTATACACAGCCGGCCTGGTGGCCGAGCGGTTAGCGTGCCTGACTGCGAAGTCATAGGCTGCGGGTTCGAATCCCGCTCAGGGCATGGATGTTTCTCTCTCTCTTTGTGCTGTCCTCTGTTGTGTGTGTGTATGATGTGTGAATGTGGCCCACCCTATAAACTCCGTGACTTTGGTTCACAGGTGCCCACTGGGTAGCGCGAAAAGAGCAACAATTCTGGCATAGTGTAGGCAAAGATTCAAATTCAGTGCCTGCCATTGGAGAAAAAAAAATAATAAAAAAAAATAATGCTATACAAAATCTCTGAGTTCCAAAACTTAAAAAATTTACTTATGTTAATTTCCGTTAATAGACATTTAGACCAATTTTTTTTTAAAAAAAAAAATGGTAGAATTATTGCATTCATAAAGATTTTTACTACCTGGAAGCAGGAGTTGCATAATTAAAATATTTAAGATAATAAAAATTCTCTAATATTTTACCATTTTTTTGAAAATTTAAGGGAAATAAAAGATTTTTGCCATAAAGGTCGCTTATTAAAGGTTAATTAAAATTCGTTTTATACTATAAGCTAGTATATCGAAATACAAGTGGAATAAATATTTTTATTCACTACGTAACACGGACAATTTCAATATACATATGAAAGAAATATTTTTTGTACGTTACAAAATATGAACACCGGAAGTAATTCAGAAAATTGTTTGAGTGTTTCTACTGAAATACACACAAAAAAAAGAAGCAAAACTACTTATTTTTAAAAATAACTTTTTGGTTTATTGCGTAATCTTTTCATACTTTTATATGATATATTCTGTTAATCGTCTATATTGTGTAAATTTCGTTGCGTTATTGGATTAACTCCAGCCAGCCATCACATTTTCCGCCTTTAAAATCTCTGTCCAGAGCTTTCAGAAACAGATTATGTATTGGCCATATAAACACAACACATCGACGACTTTTACTAAATGAACCAGTGCCTATTTGCTCTAGCTACAGAGAACCACTAACTAGTTAAGTGAAAATTAAATTAACCAGTGTTCTAATTTTCCCCATTAACTCAGTGTTCTAATTTAAAAATTAAGAGACGACAATATTTTAATAACGATTTTATTTTTGTATATATATATACCTAACTTGGTGGCTTTCCGCATCTAAACCTTATTAAGTATCTTAACAACGCTAAGTACTTCTTAAAAACTAAAATCATAATTTTTTAATATAAAACTAGAGTTGGCGAGGCTTGATTTTTTGGCTTTTGCAACAGAAAGTTGCATCTAACCTAGACTACCACAAATATATTAGTATAAATGTAGGTAAATATGACGGAGTATTCTCTTACCATCCTGCCATCTGCAAGTTTTAGATCCATACAAGCAAGGACATGATCGAGAAAAGCAGGTTTGATTTTGTACACGTAGGGTACATTTGGATGCACTTGGGATGCACTAGGGGATGCACTCATTACACGTAGGGAAGACCCGGCTATTAGACTCGAAGGTCAAATATTTCAAAAAAGTACCAGAGGAATTAGGCTAAAAAATCCCATAGTTGGCATCCAAAATTTGACCGAAGTGAAAACAAACGTTGTTTCCTGTCATTTTCAAATTTAAGATAGATTGGGAAGTGTGCCATTATTTTTAATCTGAGTTCCTCAGTTATTTCTAAAAAAACATTGCTGTGTTGTGCGTTAGTACTGAGAGCATAAAACTTTTTAAATAAGCGATTTTTTCTGTTTTGTTTTGCGTAATAAATTTAAGCCATATTTTCTTCAGCTGGACCAAACATCCTTGGGAATGCCTGATCGGACATACTTAGTGAATGGTCTGAGCGACTCTGGAACCAAAGCTTATTATAATTTGATGGTCAAAGCTGCTAAAAAATTGGGAGCTAATGAAGAAACAGTTGAGAAAGAATTATTGGAGGCTTTGAATTTTGAGATAACTTTAGCAAATGTAAGTAATTTTAGTTACTTTCATTAATTTTATTTTATATTAAGTTCAAGCATTTACTTCTTTTTATGATTTTACAATAACATTTTTTAAAAAAGGTTCTCTTAAGTTCGAATAATCTTCAATAGTTTTTGTTTAAATCAAATTAACTAGGCATATAAAAAAGTATAATTAACTTAAAAAAGATATATTTTACCTTAATATACGTTTACTTTCAAAAGTTTCACCCAAAATCCCCGTTCTCTTATGAATTTTGTGTTATGATCAAATAAATACATATTATTAACAAGTGTCTTATTTTATTCTAAAAATGCAAATAAATATTTTCCTCCGATAAATTTCATAAAATTTTGATTGTTGGTAAGCATTCCTAAATAATATTCTTCTGGAATTACTTATTCATCAAAATTTATGTAACTTAGATGTAATTTACATTAATGCGTTTCTTTTTATAATTAACCTCTCAAACTGGTTAAATGTTTCGATTCAGATANTATTAGACTCGAAGGTCAAATATTTCAAAGAAGTACCAGAGGAATTAGGCTAAAAAATCCCATAGTTGGCATTCAAAATTTGACCGAAGTGAGATCAAACTTTGTTTCCTGTCATTTTCAAATTTAAGATAGATTGAGAAATGTGCCATTATTTTTAATCTGATTTCCTCAGTTATTTCTAAAAAAACATTGCTGTGTTGTGCGTTAGTACTGAGAGCATGCAATTTTTTAAATAAGCGATTTTTTTCCGTTTTGTTTTGTGTAATAAATTTAAGCCATATTTTCTACAGCTGGATCAAACATCCTTGGGAATGCCAGATCGGACATACTTAGTAAATGGTCTGAGCGACTCCGGCACCAAAGCTTATTTTAATTTGATGGTCAAAGCTGCTAAAAAATTAGGAGCTAATGAAGAAACAGTTGAGAAAGAATTATTGGAAGCTTTGAATTTTGAGATAACTTTAGCAAATGTAAGTAATTTTAGTTACTTTAATTTTATTTTATATTAAGTTCAAACATTTACTTCTTTTTATGATTTTACAAAAACATTTTTTTAAAAAAGGTTCTTTTAAGTTCGATTAATCTTCAATCGTTTTTGTTTAAATCAAATTAACTAGCCATATAAAATAGTATAATTAACTTAAACCAAATATATTTTACCTTAATATACGTTTACTTTCAAAAGTTTCACCCAAAATCCCCGTGCTCTTATGAATTTTGTGTTATGATCAAATAAATACATATTATTAACAAGTGTCTTATTTTATTCTAAAAATGCAAATAAATATTTTCCTCCGATAAATTTCATAAAATTTTGATTGTTGGTAAGCATTCCTAAATAATATTCTTCTGGAATTACTTATTCATCAAAATTTATGTAACTTAGATGTAATTTACATTAATGCGTTTCTTTTTATAATTAACCTCTCAAACTGGTTAAATGTTTCGATTCAGATAGTTTCAAATATTGAGATTTTCAATTCAACTAAGCAATTTATAAATTATTAAATTTTTAATTCAATTAAGCAAGCTTTAAATGATAAAATTTTTAAATTAGTTGGAACATTTTTAAAATTTAAAATTTAAAATTCAATTTAGTTTCACAAATTTCCGAGTCAATACAACCTACCGTATATTTTAAATATAAGCCGAGAATTTTTATAAAATTTTTGAAAGCTAAAGTATTGGGGTCTCCTTAAAATCAGATCCATGAACTTAGAAAAGTTTTAGGTGGGGGCATTGGCAAATAAAAATACTTCTCCTTCTGTCGAGCATTAGCAATAATCAGTGAATATCGCGAAAGGTATATACTTAAAATAATGTTGAAAATGGATTGTAAAAAAATTAAAATTGAAAAAGAAACACATAGAAAGGACAATTTGAAAGGAATGCTATTATTTTCTAGTTACGAATTCGAATTACGAATTCTTTTACCTATTGTGCAACCGTTACTACAAGAGAGGAGGTTTTTAATTTCCAAGAGTAGCATGCTTTTCTTTAACAAGTTAGCTTATATACGAGTTTAGAATTTTTGGTGAATTTCCAAATAAAATGTTTGCTCTTCGGCTTGAACACGAATGTACTTATATTCTGAAATATACGGTAAACAAAAATTTGAGAACATTTTTCCTTCATTTCTGAAATAACTGAAAATTTAGCAAAATAGAATTTGAAGCTAGCATTTTTTAAACTCTCTACGCTTACGATAAAATTGATTAGATTGCCTTTACACTTATAATAAATTGAATGGGTAAGACATCAGTTATTCCCACTCTATTAGAAGCATTATAAGAAGTGTTAAAGCATATTAAACTAAAATGGCGTTCAAATTTTCTGAAAAATAATACAAAGTTGGTGCCATGGTATCGTGCATATTAATCCTTGCTAAACTTCGTTATACGATATTTTGGTTCAACTTCAACGGAAACACGGTTCAATTTAACGTCTTATGAGTAGCAAAAATTTTTATGGTATTATGATTTAACACTGGAAATTTAGACTTTCTAATGTGGCCAAGTTCAGTTATCACCTTACGTGTAGTTATTATGGCATAACGTTGAATCAATTTTGAAGGTGTAGCTATGCAAATGCGACCAGGTTCAATTTAGCACTTTAAGCGTAGCATTATGGTTCAAAGTTGAATCAATTTTTGAGAGTGCAGACATGCATTTGCGACCGCGGGCTTGATCCTTAAGAGCAGCAAGTGTTTCGATCTTTACATTTAATTAAAGGATAATTAAAATGCTTCTTTTTAACAATTTTGTATAAAAATTAAATTTGTTGTTCATCTTCTTTTTTAATTATACAAAAAAATTATGTTTTTAGTATTCCTTGCCAAGAGAGGAAAGAAGAGATTATGATAGTATGTACCACAAATATACTATTTCTCAATTACGAGAACTGGTTCCACAGGTAAAATTGATTCATTTTGTTCTCAAATTTATTTAAAACACTGAATACATTTTCATCTATTATAATAGTTCATAATTTTAACATAAATAATAATGTAATCATGTATATTTATATCCTTCTAATTTAGAAGACAAGTACACAAAAAGTAACAGTTTATTAAACATTATGTTAACGGTTGAAATTATAGTAGGCAGGCTGAATATTTTAAATTAGATTTTTTATATAACTTTGTAGAGGCGACACGGACATTATAGATGACGTTTTTGAGTTTCAAAAATCTAATTTTAAATATTCAATCTGAAAGCATAATTAAAACCGTTATTTCTTTTTTAAATATTTGTCTGAACTGAGTTGCCAGAAACCACGCTTAAGCCGATGACAAAAATAATAAGTACTGTAGCAGCTCAAGCGTTCTATCATTGTCTTATTTAGAGCTCAAAAGAGCCTTGTATTGTGTATTGAAAAAAAAACAGTTAGACATGACACAGTGTACGTGCCGTTTTTTTAATACATGAAGAACATTGTGGTCATAGAAGAAAGAAGAAAAAAAATTATATTTTCGTACATCCAGTCATGACTCCGAATTAAATTTTACCCTGATTTAAGATTTCGTTTGCATAATTTTAAAAGATGCTTATTTCGAGGCCATGGGCTCCAAATATGGGCATATGTTCACATAATGAACGCTATCCATTCTTACAGTAGTACGATATTTTAAACTTTTTCCTTTCTCCCTTGCGAGAATCGACCTATTTTCAAACTTTCATCAGCTAAAATAAAAAAAAAGTAATTAAAATGCTTAGGGGAGTCCGTATTTGGTGTTTAATCCTTTTTAAAAAGTTACTAAAGTAAATTCATAATTTGCTAAATGTCAACTTTCCCTGGTGAATGGTCCACATTCATGCATTTCTGAAAATTTATCATTGGCATCATACACTATTTTGTTCCTGCTCTGAAAAAAAGTCTATTTACAGAAGCTAATCATAACTAAAATAGTTCATTAGAAAAATTCTTACAAAATAATGCCAATCGTGTAATTTAATTGATGTTTTCGAAGAGTGAAATCACGAAAATTAATTTTTTTAGTCATTGGCTGTTGCTATATCAAATTAACACATCAAGCAATTTGGCTCCAGCTCAATTGCTTAACTACCAAATTAATAATTTTGTTAATATCATTAAGATATTTTTTGCAAGTGTATTATTTAATGTTCTGTAGATTGATTGGCTCAAATATTTGAATGGACTTCTGAATGATCCTATTACTGAAACTGAAACCTTGGTTGTAATGGTTCCGAACTTTCTGAAGCAATTTGGAGAGCTCATTGCAAAAACAGATAAAAGGTATTATTTCTACTTCATAAATATAAGATATTTGTATTTTTTTTCACTATATTGTGATTGTTTTTTCCACAATGTAATGGCTACTTCAATAAAATTTCTCATAATATATTAATCACATTTCGTTGAGAATAAGTGAATTTTCAGCGTGCAAAAAATAAAATTTTAACTATAATCGATTAAATAGTTCCTAAAAAGTAAAATTTTTTTGAAACGTTCTTTTTTAAGGAAAAAATTATATTTTCAAAACTATTTAATGATTTTGCTAAAGATTTCCTTTCATTGTTTAAACTTACTTAGGTTTAAAAAATGTGAATTTTTTATCCCTTAAACTTAAACAATTTTTGAACATTATGAGATTACTGGAATATCTGCAAGCGTGGTGTGGATATCTCGATCCTGATTGGTTGTTGAAACGTGGCATTTGCTTACGTTAGCAACTATTCTTTCAATTCTATTTCGAGTTAGCTAAGCCCGTCAAGTATAAATTGTCCTAAGTGACACATTCTTTATATTTTATCAAAGATTCTTTCACAAAGATTTATATTTCTTCACTGTGTATTTCTTTCTTAACGCAAAGACAGGCACGAAGCCATGTGGAACAGAAAGAAACTAGTTATGCATTGAAGTATTTATTTCTTAACGCAAAGACAGGCACGAAGCCAAGTGGAACAAAAAGAAACTAGTTATGCATTGAAGTATTTCTTTCTTAACGCAAAGACAGGCACGAAGCCATGTGGAACAGAAAGAAACTAGTTATGCATTGAAGTATTTATTTCTTAACGCAAAGACAGGCACGAAGACATGTTCTAAACTGCTAGAGTGCAGAACTTGCAAATAACCTTTCATGTATTTCTCATGGAATAAAGCGCCTTATAACTTTAATTACCCGACTGAATATGAATTTTTTTCATTATTAAGACGTGTTTATTTTATTTAATATTTTTAATGATAAGCTATAGTAAACCGCCTTCATGTTCGTTTCAATCGTTAAACAGGCAACAATGCTTCACATCTTTTCATATTTATTCCAACAAAATATTATTTTAATATTTCTGATAATAGGTTATAGTTACCCCATTTCATATTCTTTTCAAATATTTGCCATCCAATAATACTTTAAATCTTCACATGATCGCAATAACAAAGTCTTATTTCAATATTTTTAGTGACAAGCTGTAAAAACACACTTTTTATGTACTTTTCAATCGTTGACCGAACAAATATACTTGAAATTTCACCAGCAATACACTGCACTGTTGAAATTTTCATTCTAAAATTACAGCAAACAACTGGCAGAAAACTATCCATCCGATTAACAGTAAGGTTTACGCTTAGAAACAATTCCTCACTTCTACGGCTTTGAAACCATTTATAACTGAAACAGTAACCAAAACCGCGAATACAAAATTATATAGTTTAGTAACCATTAACATCTACCATGGTTTCAAAACTGTAAAAATGAAATTTAACTGAACCTTGGAGTTAGGTTGCATGAGGATATTTGTTAGGTAATGGACATAGGAGTCAGGTTTTAGTTTAGTTGTGTTTTGCCAAGAAAACCGTGGAATGTGCCCTTATTAGTTTATCTGGTGGTGCCATCTATCGTGAGAGACAGAAAATACTAGACATTTTGTGTTAATCAGCTCTGTGCTGTTGCTATCTGTGCATGAATGACATTTTCGTATTCCAATAGTCTGGATTCACCTATTATGGAATGTAGAACACTGAAAACTCTTCCTGTGATGAAAGAAAGAATGAAAGAATTGTTGTTTCAGCTCAGGGATTCGAACAACCAATCAGTCAGTCATAAGACTGACAGATTAAACCTCTGCGTAATAATATGCCGACAGCTGCAAGGAACTAAGTGTATTCATAACGTGAGCCTAGTTGGTGCGAATAAATTACTAGTTGTTTAACCGTATAAGGGGAAAACAGTTAACAAACAATTTTTTCTCACTGTTAACAGATTAAATACCATCTTTTTATGGTTATTTGGCTCTTTTGTAAGAATATGATTAAATAGTAATTAAATAAATTGTTTATACCAGTTTTTCAGAGAATTTTCGAACTGTGTGACAAAATGCTGTTTTACTATATTTAACGGTTGGTTATGCTTAGCCTGTTCTTTTATATTGTTGTTGTAAAACTAATAACAATAAAAGAAAAAAACTATTAACATGACTCATACATAAAGTGTGTCTACCTGTCTAATCAGGATTACAAAAACAAAATAATGATTTAGTATTTTTAAAAATAAGTTTCATTAAACACACTTAACACAATAATTTTCACATTTCTTTCCAATTATTGTCCAAGCAACAAGATTTTGATATTTTGATTCTTCTCAGTATGACGTTGGAAAATATTATTTATATATATTAGTTAGAGAGATTGTTTAATAACATTGGCGTTTCTTGAATATTTTTAAATTGTTGATTGCGTAAGCATGCAGCGAGTCACATCAAGCTTTCATTAATGAAGTATTTTTTTTTTCATCTAGAATCGTTGCAAACTATATGATGTGGAGAGTTGTTGCAGATTCCGCAGGAATGTTGTCGAAAGATTGGAAAGCTCTGGTGCAAGAATACGTTTTAGCAATCACAGGGGAACGCGAAGAAAAACCCCGGTGGGAACAATGCGTGAACTCCTTAAGTGAAAATCTTGAAATAGCTTTAAGTTCATATTACATAAAGCATTATTTCAAAGGCGACAGCAAACAAAAGGTACGAAAATAAAGAAATGTTTATGTTAAAATAAGTTTCATTTGCAGTTGTAATCTTAAGTGTATTATATTTTAGTTATAATTTATGTTAAGGGAAAATTTTATATACAGAATTCAAAGGACTTATGATAATTATTTTTCTTCATTGCAAACTTAGGAATAAGAAAATGTATCTTAAGAGTATTTTTTACATTTAAAACTAAATAAACTTATTTATTGCATTTCAAAATTTATATGAGTAATAAATAATTCTAATAAAACAAGTATCAATCTTGATTCTAGCATTCATTTTGCTTAAATAATTTTCATAAATTTTTCATATAATGTAAATGATTTAGTGGCAAATACGTATCCTTGTTTTGGAACAGTTAATCGCTTACTTATTCAAAAGTTTTAACAACAAGCACTAAAAGTAAATTATTTTAATGAACTCTGACTATTTAATACAGAGCCTACTTATAACTAAAGTTGATAAAGTGGAATATCTATGAATTTACATTTGTTTATATGTTTCTGGGTGGCACAGTTGGTTTGTCGTCAGCCTTCTGAGCCCAAGTCTGCGGGTTCGATCCCCGGCCCAGACACCGGATTTTCGGACTGCAGAAAATCCTCAGCGGCCATGTCGTATGATTATGCGGCATGTAAAAGATCCCTGGAGTGCCTTATTGGCATTTCCGGCAAAATTAAATTTCTAGTGCACTTTAGCATTTAAATGGAGTCTTGGTGCTGCCATCTAGTGTGACAGAAACTAGACGTCCAAATTAACATGACCAACGGTATCTCACCCATTGTGGTGGTCCTGAAAGAGTGGATACTACGCACTAGGTCTGCTCATCGGCAAGACCGATTGTGCAGCTCATTGGAAATAAAAAGAAATAAAAAAAAACATTTGTTTATATTGCCGTCGCTGTATAAAATCTCTGTCATTCTATAGAAACCCTGATCATTATAGAGAATGTTTAAAATTGGCATTTGCAATTCCTGTAATGAATGAAACAGAACTTATGGCCTTTGTAGTACCCCGATGACTAAATTCTAAAATAATTCAATCCACGATAAATCTAAGCCATCTGTTTGGCCATAATTGTATTGATTTATAATGAAACAAAAGAATTTAAATCCCATAAATAAAAAAGGAAGTTTAGAAGCGAAATTAAAAGTAAAAAGTTTTACACTTTTGAGGCGTATAGTCCTTGCTAAAATAAAACACAAATTAATTTTTAAAAATAATTTATACAGAAAGAAAATTATTTTTGTGAATTTATAATTTGGTTCAAATTTGTCCCTGGAAAATTGCTGATATAGTTGATGAAACAAGGCTTCATTCGGTATTAAAAATTTTATTTCAGGCTTCGGAGATGGTGAAATATATTAGCAATGCATTTTTAGAGATTCTCAAACAAATTGATTGGATGGATGAAGAAACCAGGAGACAAGCTATAGAGAAGGTATGTAATTTTCTAAACTTTTGAAATTAATACCATTAAATTTCCTCTCTTAACTATCTACCCTTACATAGCTGCACTGTAAAAAATTTAGGATCAAATTCCGGTGAAATGAACTGGTAACTAGGGTGCTGGTATTGTTTCTCCGTAAAAACTTACGGAACAAAAAATTTGATATACCATAATTTTTATAGTAATATTTATAGAAAAATCTCTGCAGTGGAAAAATATTTAATGGAGATATATGGCCATTTTTATAGAAAACTAATTTTTTTTGTCTTACTTTTTTTACTATAACTTGCTAAATATTTTTGTTAAAATAGTCAATAAAATTTTTAAAAAATTTGGTGAAATTTAAAATTAATATTTAAATTATAGCTTGAGAAAAATTTGTTTAAAACAGCGCAAGGTATGAGTAACTAAAGTAGCTCGTTTATACTACGCATGAGAGGGAAAAATTCAAATTTTCTTTTCATTTTGTAGTGAAATGTATTTGGTAACTAATTAAAAATATCCGATTTGAATAACTTAAAAACTTAAAATGTTTCAAGCAATTTTCTTACTTTTTAAAAGAAATCTCAAATAATTAGGGGCATTCCACAAAATTATTTTGCACCATTAAACAAGATTAATTAAAAATTACACCGGCATTGTTGGGGATGATCTCCCACAAGAGTATTTTTACTTTGTCTTGCTTTTTTTTTTCTCATGCAATTATGTTTCGGTGTTTGTTGTAAGGTATTATCATTTGTTATTTAATTTTGTCTTATGATACAAAAAAAAGCATTCGCACAAAAATCCGTATCATTTTGAATTTTTTTTAAAAAGTACACAAATTGTTCAAAAAATTGATTGAAACTTTTTAAAATTTTAAGAAATTCAAATTGTACTTTTTTTATTAGTGCCAAATACGATTCACTACAGAACTGAAAAAAAAAATGCCGAATCTTTCCGCGCATGCGCAGTATAAAAGAATTGCTTACATTACTTATTGCATAATTTTAAACGAATTTTTTTTTCAAATTTAAAATCAAAAATTTTTTAATTAATTTCAAATTGCTATAAAAATTTCGTTTTAATTTTATTGAATATTCTTGAAATTATAGAGCGAGACAAAACCACGAATGACAAAAAAATTATTTTTAAAAAAGAATGCCGATATCTTTATAAATATTTAAGCTTTTCTTACGAAATTTAGTGAAATTATTGGATATAATAACCAAAGTAATTGTTACAAGTTACAAATTTATTGCTACATTTTTTTTTTGGTATAGGATGTTCAAAAACACTATTTTCTGTTTTTAATTTACTGTTCATCCCTCAACTCTAAAAGTTGTAAACTTCGAGTTTTTTTGAAAATAAATTGCATTAATTATTTGATACAGAACCTTTATTAAACAGATTTTTCAAATTTTTTTTATTAAATATTTTGTATTAATTCAGATCGAAATAAGTGAAAAATATGATATTATATTTAGCATTTTAATAATTTTCAGTTACGAAATGCAGCTTGAAACACCAGTGCCTTTTTCTGTGTTAAAGGTATAATCTTCCAAACACGTCTCACTCCCAAACAATAACTTTTCCAATTTTCACTTGTTTGCAGTTATTTAGATCTAAGGGTAACAGATATTCATCATTGAAATTTCTTTAATTTACAGAATCAATTATTGATTAATTTTTGAATGGAAATGAAAAACAAAACTTTTTTTCTTTGATTTTATATTTTAGAAGAAATATAATTCAGGAAATCTAACAGATTTCTTTTAAAAAAAAACTTTTAAATTCCTTACCCTTGTAATAATTCATTTAGAAATGAAGTTTGTAACAATAATGTTTTTATCTGCAATGTAAG